CATTATTAAAATATATAATTACATGAAAAAGTATTTTTAGGATATATTTATTACTTTAATTGGATCATTAGTTCCAATAAACGGAAATAATACATCCTTTCATAATTTCCGGATCAATTCTTCGTGCTTTACAATGTCATTTGTATTCAACAACGGTCTCCTGAATTTTTATATTTAACATAGATAAATCGTAACAACTACAATCTGTTTTTGATCAATTGGTGTCTCCTTCATCGACGACGTCCGAAAATCCACGATTTACAAGGACGTCATAATAATTTGTTGACGTAATTTCGCAGGTTCTTGCTTCAGTTACAGCATCTTGATTTTGAAAATTGTCGGATGGTTTTTAGTAATTGATTTTGATAAAAAAATATATTTTTTTCTTTAATTAATTAAATGAGAGGTTTGCTATTAAAATCAAGTTACGAACATAGTAAATCATATGATCAGTAAACGTGATTTTAATAGCAAACCTCCCAAATATCTTTTTTTTTTCCTTTTAATCATCAGAGATTCAAGATGAAACAAATTTACTTTGGAAAATAATTAGTCACTTCTCATTGTTGATTAAACTTTACCATGTTGGCGTAATAATTATGCAAATACATGAGAAGATTATATTTAACATTTAATCATGCACATACAATAATTTTAACTTTTATAATTGACATCCCTTTTGGCTATTCAACGCATGGGTGGATTTTGTAATCAGGGCCAAACCAGTCTTTACCGCTTCCGAGAGAATATAACTGGAGGATTTTATGTTGAAATAATAAAGAAGCGATCAAGAGGATGCTACGTAACAAATTGGCGTCTTCAGCAGGATAACGATCCTAAGCATACGAGCCACATAGTTAAGGAATTCCTGCAAAAAAAAAGTTCCAAATGTTACGGACTGGCTATCTAACAGGCCCCATAGAAAATTTAATTAAAAGAAACGTTAAGATGCGGTAGTCACAAAATATTGGGGATTTGGAAAATTTTATGAAGAATGGTCAAAATTTCCACATTTGGTTAAATGAAGGAGAGATGTAAGCTTATAAATGAGAAAATGGGGAACGCATACCCTATTAAAATTTTTTTTTTTTAATTAATCTCCTACTTTTTGGCTTTCGAATGAATATTTTTATCTTATTATTTGGCGCAGTCGTTATGAAGTTATATTTAAAAAATATTTGTCCAAAGACTTTTGCACCAGACTGTACACATACTTATTAAGGAAAACGAAAAGATAATATATATTATTATATACCGAAAAATTGGTAATAAAAATAATTCAGTATGATACACTTCTTCGCAAGAATCTCAAAATGATGGTAAATAAAGCATGACTTTTTACTTTTCAATTCCACTTAAAAAGTTGACTTTTAAATAATAAAATTAAAATTTATTTGTGTATACTGTACAAAATAGCTAAATAATATTAAATATTTAATACAAACTTATAATAGTCGGGATATATAAATCCAGAAAAATATAAAAAATAAACCAAATTTGATATACTTATAATTATCTTCATCTTTTCGTTTATTAATTTTTGAAAGTTCTTCAAATCTATTTTGAGCTTTCTGAAAGCCAGTTTCCGCCGATTTTTTATACCAATAAATTGCTTGATCGATATCTTTCCTAATCCCAATTCCATCTTCAAACATAATAGCAAGGTTATATTGAGCTGTATTGTCTCCTAAGCTAGAGGCTCTTTGATATAAATTAAAAGCTTTGTGTTCATCAGTGTAAGTTCCAATCCCATTCCTATAAAAATATCCCAACATTGATATTCCGTTTAAATAATCTCCTTTAGCTGATTGTTCGAATAATTTAAAAGCTTTTTTATAATCTTTTTCAACACCGACACCATTTTTATAACAAAGGCCAAGGTTATAATTGGCAATCATATTTCCATTATTTGCAGCCTTCTCATACCAAAAAATTGCCAATTTCGGATCTTTTTCGACTCCTATGCCATACTCATATAAATAACCAATGTTTAATTGTGCCGCCGCAAAATCCTTATTGGCGACCTTTTCAAAATATCTAAATGCCAAATCTTGATTCTCGATCGTTCCGTATCCATTTTGATAACATATTCCAACATAATATAACGCCAAGATATGATTCCTTTTTGAAGCATCAATGAATAATTCGAACGCCTTCACCTTATCTTCACTCGTTTCAATTCCAAAATAATTAAAATATCCCATTAAAAAAATCATAGTTGAATTGTTCTGATTTTTTAATAGCCAAGTATAAATTTCTTTCAGAGCAATATTGTAAATGCTAATATATTCAATAACGTGTTGCCTCCTGATTTTTGGTTCCTTTCCATCATTTGTCATCTTGAAAATAAGAGTTACCATTCTATCAACTATCATGTTTAGCTCGTCTTCAGGCTTGTATTGAATATCTATGACAAAATCATCCGTTTGATAATTATTTATTGTTTTGTATGACTTTGCAATAATTTCTTTCATCCTTGCAACTACTTGATTCATCGTTGGTCGATTTTCCGGTTCGCCATTCCAACAATCTAAAAAGCAACGTAAATCGATTATGATTTAAATTATAAAATCATATTTGTGAAAAAAAAAAAAGAAAAAATCATATTTACCATTGTAAAGATTAACATAAATAGTAGGTGTATCGGGGACGGGTTCCTCTCTAAAGCCCTGATAAATTTTCCAATGTAAATTAAAATCATCCATATCACAGAATGGCGGTCGTCCACTTGATAATTCCCATAAAAGCATCCCAACACTATATACGTCACTCTTTTCATTTAATGTATATATTTGCGTTGAAATGTTTTTTATTTGTTTGCTGAATAATTTTGGATCAATATAAGGAAATGCTCCACATAAATTTGTTTGTTGTTTAGACGATTCCTTGATTGAGTTCCTCTCCTTTGACACCCCAAAATCGGCCAATTTAATGGTATTTTGATGAATTAATACGCTATTTGAGTGCTAATTTGTTTAAACAAAATTTCAGTTAATCATAAAAAATCATTTTCATTGAGTCAGTATTTAAAATATGTGTGATAATATTTACCAGATCTCGATGGACGATGCCTTCTTCGTGTAAACAAGAGACAGCACCAGCCAATTGATATGCAAAATTGTATTTATCGTTCCAAGTAAGCTTCTTGAAATTTTTTTTCAGGTATTCACAAAGGGTACCGCCATCAGCATATTCCATCACCAGCAAATATTTCTTTTTATTTTCTATAGATAAAAGTGCACATTTCATTTAAAACGCGCTCGAATAAATAAATAACCTTGTAAATAATTTGTACCTTGTTTAAACGTGGATATCCCATAGAAGCGAATGACATTGTTATGGAAATCCACTTCGCGTTGAAGCTTAATCTAAATAACAAATTAAAATGGTTTTAGGCTCGATTATATACAAAATCTGCTTGTTTCACGAATGTGAATTCACGTGACATCCTTTTTGACGTTTACCCCAAAATTTTCAAGGGGCGGTTAAACAATCAATCTTCATGTTCAACAGAAAAATAATTACCTCATTAACGATCAATTTCGCGGTCACGTTGTTGAAATTATGAAAAGATTTTAACACAAAATACTTGTTCGAATTTTTCCAGTTCGCTCGATGAATTTTTCCATTTGTAACGGTACGAATCTCTTTAACATTACTGAAACGTTTAAATTCATAAGTTTTGATATGCTTTTCGGCGATTGCTTTCTCAATCCAACCAATCCAATCATTTGAATCGGTAGTATGGCGTATTTCACGGGATTTTTTTTCATCAAGATTAGACATGGTGAATAATAAGAAATTAATTTATATTCTCGAACGAAATTTTTTTTTTTTTTTTTTTTTGAAAGAAAATAAAATAAAAGTCTTTTTTTTTTTTTTTTATATTTTCTTTGTTCCCAATCTGTAATGAAACCGCATCTCTTTTTATATATTTTATAACATTTCATCATGCATCAACATGTTGAAAATTCACCTAGATCTGCACTTAGCATAAAAGAAATAATAATGCGATATCGTAATATTCATTATATTTTTTAGGTTAATTAAACTTCATCTGGAGAAAAAAAAGTGAGAATGATGCATGAATTATTCACTTCATTTATGCTCATTAAGCTCATTAGTTGCATGCTTTTAATATGCTTTAATCTTAATCTGGGACTGGACCAACGCAAGCGAACGATTCAAGAATCTGCAAACTTCGAGTCTAGAAATCGAACTAAGCCAATAACGTTCATGACGCAGTTGCTACGATCCTACAAATCTATGTAGGAGAATCGTTGATCTTGTTAAAACCTCCGTACTTGGTTGGAAAATCTAATGAATAATTTTCTCTTCAGATCATAATAATAGCATAGAGGTGCAAAGAGCGAGTCATGTGCAAAATCGTGAGTTCAAGTCATACATATTGTATGTATCAAAAAAAAAAAGAAAAAAAAAAAAAAATCTTTTAACACAAAAAATACTTGTGATTATTTACATGTGTGAACTACGGAAATTGCCAACAGGCAGATGGTTTCACTGAATAGTAAAACCATTTTTTCTTTGATAGACCTTAAATTGGAAAATTCAAGTTTTGCCCAAATATAATTAATAATACACATTTTTTTTTTTAAGTCTGACAAAAGGTTTTATTAAAGAAAAAGTTAGATCATACTTTCCAGGAAAGTAATTATTAATCAGATCGTTTACATTAAAATTATAATCTAAATTAAATATAATATCTAAATAAACTAATGCATATCTGCAAGAGTACATTTCCATGTACTATCGGGTTTTTGAAATTCACCAATATCTCTATACCAATCATTTTGATTAGATTGTCCTACACAATCGCCAACTGTTGTCACTTTATACCCCCTCTTTAAACCATCCTTAATTTCATAAAGTCCGAGGGTAGTGGAAGTGGTATCAACTCTATCATGATTTAACACGATATGAGGATTAGGTTGAGGTGACTTGTTCATTTCACTATCAAAGATTTTAATAGACTGTTGTAAATCCTCTTGCCAATCTAAAGTGTCAATATCCCACATAATCATCTTGTATCCTCGTTGTTTCAACACTTTACGTACTAATGCGTTGTGTTCTCCAAATGGTGGACGGGCGTATGTCGGGATTGCGCCAATAATCTTTTTGAATGCAATTTCATTTTGTTCAAGTTGATAATTGATTTCGGCTTCGGATACTTGAGTTAAATGAGGGTGTGACCATGTGTGTGAAGCTATTTGATGTCCTTCTTTGTATGCTCGTTGTAAAATAGCGGCGTAATCATAAATGCAATGTTCTGGGAATGCATGTCCGTTCATGAAAAATGTGGCTTTTACATTATTTGCTTTAAGGTCATCAAGCAATTTTGCGGTGACCTATTTAGGAGGTTAGAGGAAAAAAAAAGAAATTTTTTAATGTTTAAAGTTATAATGTTTGATAAAAATTGCTGCAACTTGTTTACACAAATTTAACACTAACGTTTCGTGGACCGTCATCAAATGTTAGTGCGATGGTGTTTGATTTGGTACATTTATCAAACTGTTCAACTTCACCAGTTACTGGGGTTGAGGTTCCACAAGTTCCAAATGACGATTGACATCCAGTTGAACAGTAATCTACGTCGTAAAATAATAAAATATATCGAAATTTTATTTGATAAAAAAGAATTCATTCATTTATAATAAAAGATATTGATATTTACCGGAAGTAGTACCACAGAAATTATATTGAGAACAACACGATCCATCCGGACATCGAGTTCCAGCTGATGAACCACATTTTCCATCTGTAGAGATTGGTAAACCAGTTGGTGGTGGAGTTGAGGTGGTTCCACAAGTTCCAAATGACGATTGACATCCAGTTGAACAGTATGCTACGTCGTAAAATAATAAAATATATCGAAATTTTATTTGATAAAAAAGAATTCATTCATTTATAATAAAGATATTGATATTTACCGGAAGTAGTACCACAGAAATTATATTGAGAACAACACGATCCACTCGCACATCGAGTTCCAGCTGATGAACCACATTTACCATTTGTAGAGACTGGTAAATCACGTGCTTTTAAAAGATTTCTAGGCGTAGGAATGGTTCCGGCATCGATGACATTTAAAATGCACAAGGTTATTACCAGAGAAACTAAAGATCGAACTTTTAAACCCTTCATTTTGAATAATAGATTTGGTGATGAATGATGAGGTAAGTAGGTGATATAAAGAATGTGTTTGAAATATATATATATATATTTCTTATTTTCTCCCAAGGGGAGAAAGGTATTAATGAAGTGGGAGAAAAGATAAAAAGGATGTGGAATTGAAAATGTCATCTCTAATTCATATTCTTATCATATTTATAATTTTTTTTTTTGAATTGATAGATATTCCACGGGTTTACTAATTTGGAAATTTGGAAATTTTGTGATTCCTAAGGATTGACAATAAACAAATTCAAGTATTTAATAAATGTTGTGATCTCGTAAAGAACCAACGTATTCACACGATTACAAGGCAAAGTTCTTGTAATCACATTTAATATAAATAAAGTGAACTAATTTACTCAAAATGTCAATTTAACGTATTTTTGTTCCAATTAATGCATCAGGATTTATTTTTAAATTTAGGGAGTTCCTAAATCTAAATTATGTCATAAAATTTACTCTAATAAAGGTGTTCGCTTCAATTGGAATCATTCTATTAACGGATATTGCACACTCTTATAAGTGCCACGCACCATGTGTCTAATATAAATAAACACTTCTCTAAATGCACCAATATTTTCGTTTCGGTTAACTAAGTGTTGCAATAATCGTGAATACATTGTCCGAATATCTGACCTTCAAATTGAAAATCGGTTCATTTAAAAACCCTTCTCTGACTTATTTTAGGATCGAAAAAAATAAATAAAAAAAAAAAATTGAAAAGATTTTCGTAAAGATTTTCATACTTATGCTTTTAAAGTGATCTCGTAAAGAACCAACGTATTCACAACGAGGCCAAGTTTCTTGAAATCAAACATTTAATATAAATAAAGTGAACTTTTACTCAAAATGTCAATTTAACGTATTTTTGTTCCAATTAATGCATCAGGATTTATTTTAAATTTTGGGAAGTTCCTAAATCTAAATTATGTCATAAAATTTACTCTAATAAAGGTGTTCGCTTCAATTGGAATTATTCTATTAACGGATATTGCACACTCTTATAAGTGCCACCCACGCACCATGTGTCTAATATATAAACCCTTCTCTAATATTTTAGTTTCGGTTAATTAAAGATCCAATTTTGTGTTGCAATACTCGTGAATACATTGTCCGAATATCCGATCTTCAAATTTGAAAATCGGGTTCATTTAAAAAACAATTTTCTGCATCAGAAAAAACCCTTCTCTGACTTATTTTAGGATCGATCCGTTCTAAAAAATAAATTGAAAAGATTTTCGTAAAAGATTTTCATACTTATGCTTTTAAAGAATACTATACAAATTGCTATTGTAAAAAAAAATTTATGATTTTCAAAGATGCATAGCGATTTAAAATGTCAAAATTTCTCAACCTTTTAACATTTTTAAATTGCTCAATAAAAAATTTTCTTTTTAAATAAAAAATGTAAAATGTTCTCACCTTAATAATTTTTTTGATACTTGTACGCTTATATTGTTTTACCATCAATATACATATACTTTGTTAAAATGAGTTTATTATATTGATCCAAAGAAAAAACAATTCTTCTAAGGGAACCTCATTTTAAAATCTTCCCATGAATTTTCCCATAAACAGATTAGATCATGCGAATTGCATAGGATTAAATTTTTTGACGTGTAAAAATTTTTTATAAAAGTGGGATATTTTTTTTTTTTTGTATTACACAACTACCAAAAATTCGTTGACATTCTCGTTAAACGATACACAAAACAGTTTCATCAAATTTCAAGTTTTTTTCTTTTTCTTATTAGTTAATCAATCATGATACAACAACCTCCAGTTGAAGAGGAAGGCTTTTATTTGAGTTGGGCTTTACTAATCCAGACCTCCCTTTTAATATTATCGTTATGTTCTTCCTACTACTTACAACACAAACAAATCCGTGCAATACACGAAACTGTGATTTCCATTTTTGCAGGAATGATTGTTGGACTGGTGATCCGTATGTCGCCAGGGTCAATAATTCAAGATATGGTTACTTTTAATTACTCGTATTTTTTTAATTTATTACTCCCCCCCATTATTTTAAATAGTGGTTATGAAATGAAAAAGGTATGCCAAACGTCTTTTGATGCGGTTAATATTTTTTACGGTACTTATTAATTGTTCTCTTCTTGTCTTGTTCATTTATTAGGAAAATTTTTTCAGGAATCTTGGAACTATTCTTACATTTGCGTTTTTGGGCACTTTTATTTCAGCTGTTGTCATAGGGTAATCATTAGATCGTCTTTATTTAAAACATTTTTTTTAATTCATCGACTAACAAATCATTATTTTCTTATAAAGAGTTTTAGTTGGAATATTATCGGCTATAGGAGTAGGCTCACTGTCACTTTCATTTTTAGATTCAATGATTTTTGGATCCGTTTTATCAGCAACTGATCCAGTAACTGTACTTACCATATTCCAAGCGCTTAAAGTTGATCCTAAACTTTATTCTATAATCTTTGGAGAAAGTATCTTGAATGATGCTGTTTCCATTGTACTTTACGAGTTGCGTATTAACAAGTTGTAAAAATTAAAAAAAAAAATTTTTTATTAATAATTTGAGCTAATCGTATTTTCTTTCTCTTTACGATGCCAGAACACTTAAACAGTATCGAGGTCAAGAATTTCATTTAACGAACATATCTCACGGAATATTTTCATTTTTTCTTAACTTTGGAGCTTCATTAATAATCGGATTTGTGATTGGAGCGTTGTGCGCTTTGATATCCTTTACTGATTTATATATGCTTGACTTTCCTTTTTTTTCAAAAAATATATATATATAAGGCCTTAATTTAATTCATTACATGTTAAAGTATTCTCATTTACATAAGTATTCTTCGATAGAATCATGTATCGTCGCATTAATTGCATATTCTTCCTACCTACTTTCAAATGGATTATATCTGTCAGGTTTGTACATGTTATAGTCATTTTAAAAATCTTTTTAAGATAAATTTATAATTTCTCTTTATTTAAAACTTAGGAATCGTTTCTTTGTTGTTTTGTGGTATAACACTAAAACATTACGCATATGACAACATGTCAATACATACGCAGCGTACTACCAAAGATTTGTTTCATGTTCTCGCCCAATTATCTGAGAATTTTATATTTATTTATTTAGGTTTGACATTATTCACACAGACAGATTTGGACTATAGACCCTCCTTTATTTTCTTTACATCGGTATGTACCTGTGCTGCGGGTTGTGATAAACTGTGTTGTTACCTTGCTTTTATTTTTTTGTTAAAACAATTCACTTTTCATTATTAGATTATTATTTGTATATCACGATACAGTGCAGTATTTCCACTTTCCAATTTAATCAATATTATGTCAAGGTATAGAAACAAGGGTGAATCTATTCCAAAAAAGTATTCAGTTATGTTGTTCTGGGCGGGACTGAGAGGAGCGGTAGCATTTGCATTGGCAGCTGGATTAGATGGTAAAAATGCAAATGCGATGAGAACAACAATTCTTGTAGTGGTTGTGTTGAGTGTTATTGTTTTTGGGGGCACAACTAGTCGAGTACTGGAAATAATGAAAATACAAACTGGTGTTCATGATGATGATGATGATGATGATGATGAGCATCATGAATATAATAACTATGACGGGGAAAGATTTCGTGATAATGACAGAGATCACAATAATGGACATAGTCGAACAAATTCTCAAGGATCTAATTCGGGAGATACTAATAATAGATATTCTGACGAATTGCAACAAACGAACTTTACACCTATGCAGAAACATTGGTTTATATCATTTGATGATAGATTTTTGAAACCATTTTTTACGCGAAATATAGATTTTAGATATAGATCACCACATAACAGATGGGATTATGGAGAGAGGAGACATGAAGGAAATAATGATGATTTTATAGGATTAACGGGAGGGTCAGTGAGAACCGCCTCTTCGAGAACTCCTGTAAGAAATGGAGGGAGAAGTTTTAATAATAATAACAATTCAAGAATTGGACTCAAGCAAGGAAATTATAATGAAAATTTGTCAGAAGATTCACCATTATCCACACAGCAACAGGACCTTGATACAACGAATCCAAAAACAGTCGGACTTCAAAGTTTTCCTGATTTGGGTAATTTGTTGTCAAATGGAAATCAAAATGAAGATAAAGATGTGAATGAACAAGTCTTAGTGGATCTTAATGAACTTTAAATTGGTAAACTAATTATAGAAGTTGAACATTGAGAAGAAAACATATAATTTATACATTTGGCGAAATTTTATATTATTTTATTTGGTTGGATATTTGAAAACACGGTAATATATTTAAAAGATAAATTATTTTAGAAATGGATTTATTTAAGAACTTTTGATATTAAATATCACAAAAAAATATTTTTTCAAACTAAAACTTTAGAATATATGTATTATTATAAAATAAATTACTGAAAGATCTAGAATAAATATTAATAAATAGTTTAACATCTAAGTTTAAGTCTTATATACAATTTGTTTTTTAAGAATTACATGATGATGTTTTTAAAGTATTATAAGAATGTTAGCAAAGATCATTTTAAGAATTGATCTTAGAAATGATTTAAGATTGATATTTAATCATCTAGTATAAATTCAACAATTATAAAATAATACAAAAGGAATTTACCAACTTTATTTTTTTACAAAATGATTTCTTTATTTTTACTTATTTTTTTAATATCCAATATTTATATAAATGATTCTTGCTATTTCTAATTTAGTTTTATTATAGAATAGATAAATAATCTTAAAAAATTATATTTATAAATTTCTATTATATTCAAGAATTTTTATAACTATTACATAAAGAATTAATTATAATTACAATTATATAATTACTATTAATATCAAAAAGATTTAAAAACTAACTTAAACTATAGAGATTTAATTTTAATAACATAATTAATCATCTATTAAATGTTATAGAAAGTAATAATAAATTAATTAACAAGGACTTTTAAATACTATATATTTAAGCATTCAATTCTAAAAATATAATTTTACTAACCTTTTTTTTAAATCTATTTATATTCATAAATATATAGTTTAAAATAATAAGATTTTTTATTATTATAATTAATATAATATATTATAATTTACTAAAATTTATATAATTATAAATTAATATATTTTTAATTTTTAATATATTATTATTAATTTTTTATTTTTAAATATAATTTATATAGTTTATAAAATCTTATAATTATTTATTTTATTATAATTTTATCACCATTTTCGAATTAGTGTATGATCAGATAATTTGTCGATCAATTAAAAAAATATCGTAAACATTGAAAACATTGAAACAACAAAAAAAAATTAAAAACACTAGAAAATATTTAAATAACACTTGAAAAAAATAAAAAAAAGTAATATTAAAACATAAAATAAATATTATATTAAAAATAATAAATTATATAATAAAATTAAACAATTTTTTCGTTCTCATTATTGAAAAATAAAAAATCCTTCCAAAAAATGAATAATTTCTCTAGTGATTTAAAATATCAAATATTTCTAAATATATTCATAATAAAAACATATTAGATCTATGAAAAAATTAACAATTATTACATTTTTCTAAAAAAATCAAAAATTTTATATTAGAATGAATTATTATAAAAATGATAAAGACTCATCCAAAAAAATCTATTTCTCATTACTTAAAATATATTTTATAAAAAAAAAGTTAAGTATAAGTTAAAATAAAGCTTTTAGAAGAAAACTTACTTAGGAATCATGATAGGAATCTCGCTAATAATTATAGTAATCGTTAGAGAATCATTTTGGAATCGCTAAGAAATTATAAATCATTTTATAAGCTAAAAAAAACTTTTATATATTAAATCTTACTAATACATAAGGCTAAAATACTCTATGTTATAAAGGTTAATAAAAGTTAAAATGTTTTGAAAAAATAGTTTCTTTAAGAAAGATTTTTTAAAGTTTACTTTAGTATAATCTGAAAATCCTTTTTTTATTATAATTGATTGATAAATCACCTGATCACACTATTTTGAAAATGGCGATAATACTAGAATACAAAATTATTGTAAAATCTGAAGTGTTAATTTATAATATTTAATTATCACAGAAAAATAACTCTTAAATTTTATTATTAATTTAAAGATAACCACATCTGAAAATCAGATTATATGATAATATAACAATACATCTTATTGGTCAATTACATATGCGAACAGATAGATATTAATATTAAAATGAGTCTAATTAAAGATGTCTAAAGCATAACTGAGAACAAATAATATTTTTTATTTATATAGTATTTAAAAATTTATTAGGTTTTTATAATATTATAAAGTAGTGTTTCAGGCGAAACTATTTTTCAACATCCTAAACATTTTGCCTAGAGAATTTTTCTATAATCTGAAATCACCAAAACTCTAAATTTGAAAAGATTTTTGCAGATCAATTTGGCAAAACTAGTTTTATCCAAAATACTATTATAAAGCTTAAATTTAAATTTAATAAAAAATATTTAAATAAATAATTTAAAATGTTTATAATAAATATATCAAAAAATAATTATAAAATTATACTTTATAGATCTATTATTATAAATAATAAGGATATTTTATAATATTAAAAATATTATTTATTATTAAGAATATTTTTTAATTATATATTAATAAATTTTTTTAAAATATTAATTTTATTATTTAATATTATTTTAAAAAATATATATATTAAATTATTTTAATTATTAATAATTATAAAAATAATAAAATTATTTTATTTAATATAAAAAAAAATATTATTAAGTATAGGTATAATTAATAATTAACATTTTAATTTAATTTATTTAAAGTTTTGATTATTTAATTAAACATGTGAATTTATAAATTTATCTTTTAAATTACACATGGTTAAGATGTAAACAAATATACGATCATTGGCAAACAAATTGTTCCATCAAAATCTTTTCTCCAAATTTTTACGAAAAAAAAAAAGAAAAAGTATATAAAATAATGTCGGCACAATTTTTTTCTAAATTAAGTCAAAATTATATTGAAATTTTGGAAGATAATGAGTATTATGATATTACAATTGAGGCGGGGGAAGATCCAAAGGTGAAAATATTCCGTTCACACATGAATATTCTGTGTTACCGTTCTCCATTTTTGCGACGAACTTTGACTACTGAAAAAATGAAAAGCGAAGGTACCCTTACTCATATTAAATTGCCAAACATCTCGCCGGAAATCTTTCAAATCCTTTTGAGGTAATTTGATTTTATTTTAATAATAAGAATGACATCATCTTACCAAGTACCCGTAACTATTAAATTGTTTATAATGTAGGTACATTTATGGAGGGGTTATTTCATTAAACGAAAAAAAACATTTCAGACATTCTAAAAATATTGGCGGCAGCTGATCAGCTTCTCCTTCAAGAGCTAGTTGAATATTTACAAAATTATTTAATCGAGAATAAAACTGGATTAATCGAGCAACATTTTGAACTCACTTGTCAAATATCTTTTCAATCCAACTCTTTATCGGAACTTCAGCAATTATGTACAGACATTATAGCGAAATCACCCGATAAAATATTTAAATCACTTGATTTTGCCACGATCCCTGAAAAATCTTTAATTACACTTATTAAAAGGGATGATTTGCAAATGAAGGAAGTCGAAATTTGGGATCAAGTATTAAAATGGGCACTTGATAAAAATCCTACGCTCCTTCCGGATCCTTTCACTTGGACGGATAATGACTTCAAAATCATGAGAAATACTTTACAAAATATTTTACCCTTAATTCGGTTTTATAGTTTGTCTTCTGACGAATTCACACGAAAGGTTCGTCCATATAGAAAACTATTAAAGTCTCAACTCTACGAAAATCTATTAAGTTCGTACTTGTATTCTAATGCTGAGCCAGGTGATGATATCGTACTCCCTAGACAAAAGAACATTGATGGAATCATTGACACAAAGATCGTTAATTTAAATTTTGTTTCCGTAATTTCAAGATGGATTGATAAGATAGATACCAAAAGCAAATTTGCACACGCAAGGGAATTGTACTTACCATATGAATTTAAATTGTTATTAAGAGCAAGCCGAGATGGGTTCACTCCTAAAAGGTTTCATGAATTATGTGATAATATACCTTATACCGTTACATTCATTAAGGTAAAAGGAACGGAAGAAATACTCGGAGGATATAATCCTTTAATATGGAAACATTCCTATGAATTGGCTCAAACAAAGTATAGTTTTATATTTTCTTTTAAGGGCAAGGATAATTTCGAAGGTTCAATTTTAAGCTATGTAAATAATACAGAAAACGCGTTATATTATGCTCCTCTCTGTGGTCCCTCGTTTGGTAACGATCTTCGTCTAGCGAATAATCTTTTGGCATTAGTGGAATATAATAATAATAGTTGTAAGCAAATTGATTATGAAAAAAAGATCAGAAGTTCAGAAGAAAATTTCTTGATAGAAGATTATGAAGTATTTCAAATTTTGAAAAATAAGAAGCAATAATATGCTTGTCATGTAATAAACAATAAATAATATATGATGTAAGAATTATTACTCATTAAATGGTCTTTTAATTTTAAATGAAAATTTGAGTGATATGCTATGCATGAATTTTAAAGTATTTTTGTTCAGAGTTGCGCGCGTTTATATTCACAATCAAAAATCGAATTACGAACGTAGCAAATCATATGATTCGAAACGTGATTTAATATGAACATTTGTATAAGATCAGGTTTGATTGGATAAAATGATCCGAATCGAGAGCTTTTTTACATCATCGCATCGATTTGTTAATAATAATCAAATAATTTTTATAAACTATTAAAATCAATTTATGAAATCAAGATACTATTGAGAGCTTTTCCATCCCATCTTATTACAATTCAGTTATATGATTGTTTTTGTAATACATAACGAACGACGTTTGTTAATTGAAATTTAAATGCATTTTTTTTTTAAAAAAAAAAAAAAAAAAAAAAAAAAAAAAAAAAAAATAGCATGATTAATTGAAGAAAATACTGCATAAATGGAAGGTTTGCTAGGAAAATGGGGCTCGGGGAATTTTTTAACAAAATTTTTGTTTTTTATTGCATTTTAGTTTTTGATGTTATTAGATTAAAATGTAATAAGGTCTTAATCTTAGTCAAAAATTTCACAGAACCCCATTTTCCTAGCAAACTTCCCATATAGTAGAATGTAAGATTGATTCTTTACAATCTAAAGGTATCTATGTAGTAGAAATTTATCAAGTTAAACCTTATGAATTAAATTATTCTTTAACTTGTTTGTTGATTACTTACATGCGATACTAGGCAAAGAACAAATTTTGCATGGTGAAATTGCTGGCTCAGCAATCCATTATTCATGTTGCATTTTGAAAAAAAGTCTATAAGGAACGAAAATGCCACCGAGTATTGCATTTTTATATCAAACTCTCTCTTTCTTTCCAGTTTCCTTTCTCGCGGTATAACATCTCATCAAAAGGTAAGGCCTTCTCTTGATAAACAAGTGCACATTCAAATTTCTATATAATAAGGTTGTGGAGCAAATACCTTAGTTTTCGACGGGAACCGTCAAAGCTATTATAGTCGAAACTATATAAATCAATAAAAAATGTCAAAAGTCCAAATCGAAACCGTGAGTTTCCCGCAATTATTATGAGGGACGATAAAAGCAAGGATCAGGATGGCAAGGTGATGCACCTGATCCTGGTCCAAATCATATGATCATATGGGAACGTTGCCAGTAAAATCAAGTCATGAGATATATTAAATCATATGCAACGTTTCCATATGTTAAAACATTTTGTCTTTTCGACCTCAAAAAGGAAAGTTAAACTTTGCAATAGAAAGAATAGAAAGGGAGGAACTGCAAATCAATTTATACCTATATATGGCAAATGTGATTTTCAAGCCGAAATATGTTCAGATGTAGCATTTTCTCATTGTTTTATTTTTCCAGCAGTTTCCCCCTTTCTATTGCAAAGGTTCCATAAGTAATCATTCATGAAGGAAACAATATATTTGAACTTATTGGAATTCCTGAAATTGCTGGTATGATAATTACTTGACTTCGGATTATCGTACGCATGAATCACAAAAGAGGCTCTTTACTTTACAATTTTTTTTATATTTAAAATGTTGATATAATAATATAATGTTTTTTTACATTTAGTTACGACTTTGGTTGATCACAGAATAGGGTTGTCCAATCAAACTTAAGATGACGAATTTGGTGTTGGTGATTTATGTATAAATACTGCAATAAAACATTTCAATCAATTTTCTCGCGATTACTCAGAATATTTTTTACTTTTTCAAAATGGAAGAACTTCAACAACTTTTCGAAGCGACACTCAACCCCATGGATCCTTCAGTTGCGGATACCGCGGAAGCGGTTTATATTTCTTCTTTATCTTTGCTTAAGGTACACAATATAAAAAATTCAGAAATTATTATAAAAACCTGAACGCTATTAATTGTTCCCTTCTTTTTTTTTTTTTATTAATTTGTCTATTTGAAGATGTTAAAACATGGTTAGTTGATTATTTAATTTGTCGTGATCGATTCAACGCGAAATTCATTCATATGATTTCTTTATAGGACGCAGCGGTGTACCCATGGAAGTTATGGGATTGATGCTTGGTGAATTTGTGGATGAATATACCGTAAGCGTAATCGACGTGTTTGCTATGCCACAAAGTGGTACGGGCGTATCCGTAGAAGCGATCGATCACGTTTACCAAACAAGAATGTTGGACTTGCTGAAGCAAACTGGACGGTACGAATTAATTTTTTAATTAAATTTAATCCCTGAGATTCATATATCTGATTTCAGTTAATGAAATTATTAGATCCGAAATGGTAGTTGGGTGGTATCACTCTCACCCTGGATTTGGATGTTGGTTGTCTGGTGTAGATATAGAAACACAAAGGAGTTTTCAGTCATTGAATAAGAGGGCTGTTGCTATAGTGATTGATCCTATACAGTCTGTCAAGGGCAAAGTAGTTATTGATGCTTTCCGTCTTATAGATCAACGCTTTTATTTGAGTGGTCAAGAGCCACTTCAAAGCACATCCAATGTCGGACAACTTAAAAAACCAAGTATTCAAGTACGATCATGATTTTTCAAATATATATTTATATCTACTTTTTTATTTTTAGGTTTATACTTGTTAACTTTCAACTTTTTCTTAGACTTTGGTCAATGGGTTGAATAAATATTATTATTCAATCATAATTAATTATCGAAAGAATGAATTGGAACAGGCAATGTTGCTCAATCTGCACAAAAAAAATTGGACCAATGTATTGACACTGCCAGATTTTACGGAACACACCAAAATCAATGAAGAGAGTGTCAATGTAAAGATCTACCAACTTTCTCGTTATCTCACCAAATTTTTTTTTTTTTTGATCTTATGAAAACTTCAATTTTTTTTTCTTTTTAGTCGATGGTTACATTGGCAGGATCATATAATAAATCGGTGCAAGAGGAATCAACCATGCCGCCTGAACAATTGAAATTACGACATATTGGAAAACAGGATCCAAAACGTCATTTGGAGGAAAGTGTGAATGTGGCCATGTCCGATAATATTGTAATGACACTAGGAACCATGATTAATTCAACCAGTTTCGTAACCATAAACCAAGATGATAAACCTCAGGAATAACCGTTATTCAACTTATATTATCGAAACGAAAACCTTTTGCATTTGAAATATTCTACGCAATTTTACTTTAATTTTCTAACATTCAATTAATAAAATGGGATTTATGGACTTGCTAAAAAAAGTAGCTTTTTATGAATCATGCTTAAATTTTGTTCGAATTTAAAAAATGACCGAACGGTTAGAAGCCTTGAATTAGAATACCAGTCTCATTTGGAATTTAAATCATTGTTATTAAATAATTTTGATATTTATGATTTATTTAAGAATTTAAGTGATTCTCTTTTTTTTATTATTATTGAATAAAGGTTAAAAATTCTTATTAAGTGTTTAATCTTTGTGACAAATTGGGTAGAAACGCAACATATAACAAATTAGTCCAAGTGTTAACAAAAAATTGCGGACACGTGATTTATGTGGTTAAGGTGGCGCGATAATGAACTTTGTTCCGGAATGCGAATGGAAATTCTCGTATCAGCAGAGATGCAATCAATCGGCGTCTAATTTATATATATGGCAATAATTCAACGAAAAGTTATTTAACATGTGAAAATTACAAAGAAATGAATTGTAATTTACCTCGCAAAGGTATTTTCTTTGTTCTTCTAGGGGATATCTAATGCATTGATTTACATTGCATGATAATTAAACTTTAAACGAAGGCTAAAGTTTAATTACCATATGTGGCTGTGTAATATGTTTCTCCTAAAAAAAAAAGAAGAATTTGTTTAAAAATTCACGTTGCTGTCGAAGAAACGGACCACCTAAAACTTTTTGAATTTACTGCATGGATTGATTGGACAAATGATGTTCCACAAAAATCGCTTAATCCAAGTTTTTAGCCACAGTAAGTGACGAGTTATTTATTTTGTTTTTTTAAAGAAAATTTCGTGGCGCAATTCGAGTTTGGTGACTTCGCCTATAACATCAACAAAACTTTAAACCAACGAGGAAATCTGTTGTTTTGGTCAAATGGCAATTTTTTATTACCAAAATAATCGTTTGTATCACAATCGAACTTTTGATCCCAAAACAACAACAATAACTTTTTTTTTTCCCTGGAGAATAAAAAAAAAAAATTTCACTTCTCCTTTTTATTCATTTCATTTGAGCGAACATATTTTTTTTTCTAAAGTAAAATGTCTCAAATAATTACCAAATTTCCTATTGACATATTATATGATATTATTGAACAAGTGGATGATGGGGCGTCCTTATTCTCGTGTTTGTTAGTTAATCGAAGTTGGTGTAAAATCACTGTTCGACTTTGGTGGAAAACTATCCAAAACTTTAATACCTTGGTCGCTTGTTTACCTAGCGAATCAATAGCGACCTTACGTAGTAACTTAGTTTTGGTCTCAACTCCAACTCCTAAACCCTTGTTATTTAATTACGCGACTTTTGTAAAATTTCTTTCGTTTACTGACATCAAAGATAAAGTTAGAGGGCTCCTTTTAAACCAAAACGTTACCGCCTCATGTGCACGTAAATTATTAACGCTCGAAGTATTGGTTATGTTGTTGGGTCAAAGTACTTTAAAAAAATTGAACGCGAACACCAAATGCATTCCTAGTATCGAATACACCACTTATCCTAGAGATTGTTTTAGAGACCTTACGGAAATTAGCTGTCGCTCAGATATATGCTCAGATTTCCTGGATCAGGTGTCCCAATTATGTCAAACCATACGATCAATGGACGTCAAGCTTGAATTAAAAGTATCAGATGGAATTAAAAAGCTGATATCGGTTCAGAAAAATTTGAAGTTCTTTAGAATAGTCTTCTTACATCGTGAAAGTTTGGAAGAATTAATCCCCTCATTGACAAAGCATTCATCCACTTTAATCAAATTGGAAATCGACACCTTTCAAATCACAAAGTCATTATTGTTCCTCGCCGATTTCTTAAATTTGCAAGAGCTCGTCCTACAATACTATTGCGATTATTTAGAAGATTTCAAAACGTTACAACATGTTACCTTTCCAAAGTTGAAAAGTTTGAAATTCAAAAGAGGTGTACCAAAATATGAATATTTGATAAATTTCTTGGAGTTGAATGGCAAACGGCTGGAAACGCTCGATATCGATTGCTATGGTCATAATTCGTTAAATTTGGCTATAGCAAACTTTTGCCAAAATCTGAGGTCGTTAAGTACCATCTTTATGAAAGAAGAAGGGATAACTCTTAAATCAATTTTAGTTAATTGTCAAAATTTGCAAAGTGTTCACCTTAGGTCCAATGATCGTTATTTGGACGTGAGTGAGATTTTTGAGATCGTCGTAAAGCATTCCTCCAAAACTTTCACCGAGTTGAAATTGGATTTTGGAATAGTTTCGGAATTGTCTCCAAAGGAATTAGATATCTTTTTTTCCAATTGGATGAATCGCGTACCGCGAAATCCCATCTCTTTTATCATCGTGATTCGTTATTTTGGTGACATTACAAAAGAAAATATGAAAGTAATTTCTAAATATATGAAATTAAAAGTGATTAAAAAATTTGAAATCATAAACGATGATGACGACGACGATTATGACGACGAGGAAGAGGATGACGATGACGACGACGACGACGACGACAACGATGAAGTCGAAGACGATTATTTCAGTTATGAAGATTATGACATCTACTTTCATGGGGGAAGTGAAAGTGATGATTATTTTATGGACGAAGGTGATGATGTAGAGGATAATGACATTGTTGATGGTGACGGTGACGGTGACGGTGACGGTGATGATGAGAATGTTGCCGATGGTAGCGGCGATGACAGTGAAGATGAACATTTGTATGTTACGTTTTATAGAAGAACCACTAGATTATAGATGAATTAACGCTTGGAAAGATATTCTCACTTTGAAACATAGCGTCACAAAAAAAGATTTTTTTTTTGTCTCTTATTCTTTTTGGATATCAATATCAATTTTGTTTAAATAAAATATATCTTCGATCAATATTATGAAATTTAATTTTTTTTTTTACACAATGTTCGGTGCTCAATTTAAGTGTAAACAATTTCTCATTTACTAAATTGCAAAACGAAGATTTGAAATTATTCCACAAAAATGAGGTACCTTTAAATGCTGCTGATTCAACTATTGATCACTCGAGATTTTTATATATACTTTCCTAGGAAACGCATGATACGCATATATAAAGGGAATCACGCGCTATTTACACCCGTCCAACATCCGATTGAATGAAATCTAGCTGACCCCATAAACAAATTATTGACCACACAATTTTAGGGCTTCGAGATATTTTTAGTAGGGCAAATTATCTCTTCCATTAATGTAAGCCATCATCAGCTGCTGATCACAAATCATCCATGGCTTGGATCGTCGTTAAGATACATTAGATCACATGATGCCTTTGAAGTTTCGTTAATGTTGATTAGTTATCCTATCAATAACGTTTGAACTATCTATATAAATTAATCATTACCCTTCTAATTATACACAATAAGGAGCATTCGTTTTTCTTTTGAGAAATCGTGGCTGTCGATTTGGCGAGTATTAAATTTAATGATCCAATTTCGTATGATTTCTTACATTCCGAGAGTGATATTCTCAGTTATGTAACACATAAGTTATAGTGTCATTATACATTATTGATTGGATCAATCAATATTGTTTAGAATCTGATATCTCGCTAAGCTAATTACTATATCGCGTGCCGTGCTTATAAGCACAATAATCTATTATGAACACCTGAGGAGTTACATCTTAATATAATATAATCATGAGAAGTTTACTATTGATTTTTCGATGGTTCTATTAATAAATTAGTTAATTTACGACCCAGCAGGATCCTTTAACACCGATCATTTCTAAGATATCTAGAATTGAGGTCCTTGTCTAGATTGGATAAGTTTTACATCTAACAGCACCGTATCTATATTCTTGTTTACGCAACGCGAAGGAACGCATGTATAGAGGGAATCACTTGTTAATTAACCCGTCCTCTTTCCAATTACAAAAGAATTAGCGCTACTATCCAAACCATCAACCGATTGAATGAAATCTGACCCATCGCCAGATAGTTGACCACTCAATTTAGGGCATCGAGATATTTTTAGATAGTTTCTTAGACAATTTACTGTATCTCTAGAGTGTCGTTCCATTAATGTCAAGCTGTCACACACTTACGCAATTGCTTGCATCGCAATTGACTTTGTTTAATCAACTGATACCTGTTAATGTTGATTAGTTATTCTATAGTCAATAAACTACCAATTATGTTGCAGATTTGGAGTCAACTCAGTCAGTTTTTAGTCGACTCAGCCGTCGAATGAATCGCGACTCTCATTTGAAATTTTCGACCATAATTTTATTATTAACAACAATATTTAAAAAAATTTACTAAAGTATATTATAAATAAAATAAATGATCTTTTATTTTGCATCACTTCTTATAAATTTCGACTATAATTAAAAGTTTTTAGAATCCATTCTAATAATACTTTGAAACTTTGAATTGAAAATTTCGCGAAATTTGAATCAGTTACGGCTCAGTCACGGTGAAAATACCGGCGTCGACTCTAAAATTCGACTTAACCGTCGACCGGCTGGTATTTTAAAGTCTTAGTCTAGTATATATAATCTTAAGAAATTTACCATTCCCTGCAATCATTGCCGCCAGTTTCGTTAACATCGATCATTTCTAAGATACCAAATCTAAACAAGGAATTAACAATTCTAGATAAATTATACACTTTAATTCACGAACTCAACCAAAACTTATTTAACATTTAAAATATTACGTACCATAAATAGCACTGCGCGTTTGATGATGAAAATATCATTTACATTCTGGATGATTATCGAACAAAATTAATGAAACAAAAACTCATTTTAGTACAGTGTTGGCATTTGGCCATTTGGTAGGAGATTGGCAGTTGGTCGTTTGGCCCATGACCAAATGGCAAAATGCCAACTCTTGGTAAAAGTACTTGTAGATGGAGTGACTGAATTTTTTGAGTACGCGTGGAGAAACCTTACAAAGTGCACGTGAAGGAATTGGTGTCAATGCGTATATAAATTATGATATCACGCGTTTATAAAAAATTGTTTGATAGGTTTAAAATTCATAAAATTCAAGTGTACTATAGTCAAATATGCTTATCTGAGTTAGTTATTACAAAGGGTTCATTCACGACTTTATTTTATTGAAAGGAAAGTAAACGAAACCGTTATATATTTGCGTCTACGAGTTTGTTTTTCTCAAGGCCATATAAATTAGGTGCGTCTCTTGGTTTAAATTGTCATCAGGTAATTGCAGACGAAAAAGTTTTTATTTTCATAATAAATTGATGGATTTCAATAATGTAATTTTTTGGTTAAACATCACACATCACATCTCTTAATTTTATAATTTTTTAATGCTAACAAAGAAAGTTGATGCACAATTTCATTTTTATTTTTTATTTTTTATTTTTAAAAAACACCTCTGATTAATAAAATCATTAATCCGTCAAGACATAGAAGTGCGTGTAAGCTCCGCATAAGCCAATCCGGTTTGTGAGACAAAACAAACCGGTTCGTTTAGGATCGGTTCGAGTCACTTTACACTATAAAACAGCTCGTGAGACAATATGCCGTGACTTTGTTGGCTTGAATTTTCTGTCTTTGAAGAAAATGCATCCGGAGCGCTTCTTTTGAGGAAAAACGCATCCGAGACGTTTCCTTTGAGGATCATCTCATCGATGGCTTTTCCTTTGGGGAAATCGTTCCGGAGACGTTTCTCTCGAATCACTCGGTGCGTTTCTAATTCTTCTGCAATATATTTTTTTTTAAAATTTTATTATTTAATGTGAGCAACAAGATCCGGCTTGGATTTCATTTTGATGGACTCGATGCGGAATTTTAGTCGCGTCATCAAACATAAAAATTTAATTGTATAAATTTCGAATGAGTTTGAAAATAATCGAAGCAATAAGCTTTGAATAATCTCAGATTTATTATTGGTTTTATATAAAATACAATTAATTTTATTAATATCTTAAAAATAGTAAAATAGTATAACTTATATTTAAATTAAATGTAGCTACATAAGATTAATAGATAAATAATTAGATAAGATTTTATGAAATTCTAAATAAAGTTAACTTCTATCCTTGAATTTAAAGACTTGCTTAAAGTAGTTTGTTCAAGCTATATCAATTGCATCTCCACCTGAGCAAGATTATGTTGAGCCATTTGAACCCCTTGTTCAGCAGATTTTTTATACCAATAAATTGTTTTCCTTATATCTTTAACAACCCCTTCTCCATGCTGATACATAAGAGCAAGATTATATTGAGCTATCTTGTTTCCCAAATTCGCCGCTTTCTTATATAATTCAAACGCCGTATGCTTATCAATAACCGTTCCGATCCCATTATTGTAACAACATCCCAAGTTCAATATTCCGCTCAAGTATCCTCCTTCGGCTGATCTTCTAAATAACTCAAAAGCTTTATTATGATCCGTGCTTACACCGTTCCCGTATAAATAACAAACCCCAAGGTTATGCATTGCGACGATATTTCCATTATTTGCAGCCTTTTCATAAAAATAAGTTGCCATATTTAAATCCTGTTTAACGCCTATTCCATTGTAATATAAATATCCAACACTTAATTGTCCTACGGCAAAATCTTCATTGGCCATCTCTTCATAATATTTAAAAGCCAAATTTTCGTTCTTTTTAACACCATTTCCAAATTCATAACACATTCCAACATAAAGCTTTGCCAACGTATGTTTTCGTTCCGAAACGTTCATAAACAAATTAAATGCCCTTTCCTTGCTTTCGCTTACTCCAATTCCAAAATAATAAAGATATCCAAGCAAAAAAATGGAATTTGAACCATCCTGATTAACTAATAACCAATTAACGATTTCTTGTAAAGAAATCTTATTATTATTAAAATATCCATGAATGAGCTGATTAATTGTTTCCGGCTCCATTCCTTTATTTAATTCTTTACAAATAAGATCAACGATCTCATTAATCATACTCCAATTTTTTACAGGTAAAGGTTCTTTACCTATCATATAATTATTTTGAGATGAATCTCCTTGTAATAAATAATTAATACTTAAAGAAGTATTAACATTAATTTGTCGTTCATTTGGTAATGGAAGATTTAATTTATAATTATCTAGTTGAGTATTTTCTATCATTACGTTTGCGCCTGCATACATTGCTTTTAATTCAGCAACTACTTTATTCATGTCTGGACGATCGTCCGGTTCTTCATTCCAACATTCTAAAATATATATATATATATATATATTATTATTATTCAGTAAAAATTTTAAATTCCAAGATTAATACAGAATAAGATACGTACCCATATAAAGTTTAGCATAATCGGCAGGTGTATTTGAAACGAACTTTTCCCTCAAACCTTGTGAAATCTCATAAATCAAACCAACATCATGTTGCTCGCCTTTAATATAAAACGGAGGACGACCGCTTGAAATCTCCCACAAGAGTATTCCAACACTGTAAACGTCACTCATTTTATTTAATCTATACGGTTGTATTGGATTATCAGTATTCCTTCGTCTACTAAACATTTTCGGGTCAATATAAGGTATTATGCCAAAAATATTGGAGTGTTTTGAAGATGCTTCCTCAATCCTTTTTGATAATCCGAAATCGGCCAATTTAATATTATCTTGATGAACCAATATGTTTTTGGAATGCTATAATGTAATATTATTATACGCGGAGATGTTTAATGAAAAAAATTGATATTGACAACAACATTTTTAAATTCATAGTCATATAAATCATAAAATCATGCATTACCAGGTCTCGATGTACAATTCCTTCATCATGTAAACATGATACAGCACAAGCCAACTGGCAAGCCAAATTGTATTTATCCTTCCAAGTAAGTTCATAAAATCGTTTCTTCAAATAATCCCGAAGCGTACCGCTATCGGCATACTCCATCACAAACAAATATTTCTTGAATTGCTCATGTTGATGTTGAAAATCTGCAGAATGAAATCATTAATTAACGTTTAAGTAAGTACATGTCTTTAGTACTAACTCATCGCCAACTGTACCTTGATTTAATGTCGTAACTCCATAAATACGAATAATATTTTTATTGAAATCAACTTCACGCTGATGGTTGAACTAAAAAATTAACAAAGATAGACGTTAGATAAATATAGAAATGAATAGACCGAATTACGCTTCATGCGTATGATTTACCTCACGAACGAGTTCCTTGACGGTGACATTATCAAGATTAAAAAATTGTTTTAAAACGAAATATTGTTCTGAATTTTTCCAATTCGCACGATAAACTATGCCGAATGCTCCCGAACCAATTTTTTGAAAATTACTAAAATGATCGTACTCGTAATATTTAATATGTTTCTTTGAAATCGCCTCTTCGATCCAATTAATCCATTCGCTTGAATTATCGAAATTTTGCATCTTAATTTTAATAACGCAAAAAAAAAGAAAAGAAAAGAAATTCTCCCCTCAACACTTTTTCTCTAAATAATTTTTTATTTCCCGGCTCAGGTAAATAATTTATGAAAGCATTTGAAAATAGAAAGAAGTTTGTTAGGAAAATTATGTGAATTTGAAAAAAAACTTTCTTATGAGCGAGCAACGTTACATATTTCAGGCTTATTTTCGTGACACTTGAACACAAAACGGAAGCTAACCTTTATGAAACTAATTGCCCCTTTATAGAAATTTTTAAATTTAAACTGTTACATTTTCACCTTACTGCGCAAATTTTAATAAAAAATTGTAAATCAGATCTCTATCACCCTAAAGTAACTAGAATCATATAATTTAAAAGTTTATACAAATTTAGCGGACTAACCTTTTTTTTTTACAATTAGTTACACTTCTAAAATATTCATGCAAAATAAAAAGGTAATAACAAATTAAAATGCTATTTTTTAATAAAGGATATAGTAAATCTTAAAATCAAATATTATTTATAATTGAAAAAAAAATTATTTAAAGAATAAATATAAGATAAAGTTATTAAAAAATGATCAAAAAGGGAGGCTATTAAAAAATTATTAGAAAAAAAAAAAGGGTAATTGAAAATTTGATAAAAGATAACTATTCAATAATATTTAATTTGTTTTACTTTTT